AGAGAGAGAGAGAGAGAGAGAGAGAGAGAGAGAGAGAGAGAGAGTTCGTGCGACGTTTCGCGTAGACGCACGTTTGATACACGTCCGACCATAAATCGTCATGATGCATTATTCACCGTGTCTGGCTACTCGCCGGTTCGAAATGCAATTATTGAAACCTTGCGACGCATACGAAGATCTGGGGATCAATCTATCGAAAATCAATTTCGGGCTACCATGGAAATTGGCAATCGTGACTCGGAAGAGAGATATATATATATCGGTTCCTCTTTCTCTATAAAAATATCGATTTCCAGTTAATAGTCAGAAGTGCTTCTACAGGGTGTCTCAGATCACCTTCACCATCTCTCGTGAGAATGTAGAGCGGAGTGAGATGAACACAAAAGTCCCATAGCTTTTTGCGATATTCGCAATAATAGTCGAGATATTGATTAAAGAAGATTGATGAATGATCACATGCGATATGGTAGATAAGCTGCAGTGGCACCGTCTGCCGTCGTATACTCATACATTAAATCAAACTGAACAAAAAAGTCCTCTACCATTTTGCAAATGACCACATAGATTTTTAGATATTAATAAAAGAAAATTTGTGCATTGTGCACGAGAAAAAAAAGATTTGGTTGAATTAACCAAATATCTGGTCGAATTAATCAAATATCTGGTCGAATATGAACGATCCAGAAATTCCGATTAAAGTAAACCGAGTTCTGTTTAAGTTAACAAGATTTTTGGTAGACTAACCAAACATGTCTGATTATTTAACCAGAGATTAAAAGATATATTTGGTTAAATAACCAGACATGTTTGGTTAGTCTACCAAAAATCTTGTTAACTTAAACAGAATTCGGTTTACTTCAATCGGGATTTCTGGGTCTTTTATATTCGACCAGATATTTGGTTAATTTAAACAACATTTTTTTTTCCATGTGATACACAATCATGTAACAATTTTCTTTAATTAATATCTAAAAATCTACGTGGTCATTTGCAAAGTGGTAGAGGACCTTTTTCTTCAGTTTGACTTAATATATAAGCACGCTGAGAAAAAATTTACTAAATTTCAAAAAACGTTTGTTCAGATAGTACTGTGAAGATATTTGTTTAAATTAAATAATTATTTTCAAAAATTGAAGAAACAAATTTATATTTAAAACCTCTTTATTTAATTTTAGAAAATAATTAATTTAAACAAATCTTCACTGTACTATCTAAACAAACATTTTTTGAAATTTAGTAAATTTTTTCTCAGTGTATACAACTGTAGACGGTGCCAGCTCATCTACCATATCGCGCGTGATCATTCACCAATCTTCTTTAATTAATATCTTAACTATTATTGCGAATATCGTAAAATGGTACGGAACTTTTTTGTGTTCATCTCAATCTACTCTACGTCCTCACAAGAGATTGTAAAGACGATCTGGGACACCCTGTATAAGGAAGAGGTGGCGTGAAAGGAACATTTTTGTTCAAGATAAAATAGTGAATAAATTAATGGACTATTTTAATCTTCATTAGTCATTTTGGAAACGTCAATTGCTGAAAAATAATAATCGGCAGTGATAACAATCTTATCACTAGTTCTACATGCATTATCTTTTTTATTCTTCTTTGACATTCTGAAAGAACTCAGTATTGTCGCCACGTATGAAACGACAGCGGTGCGAAGTTAGGCGCGATTGTTCATGCGTCAGTATTGTCACAACATTAAAATATTGCTTGAATATTTATATTTTTATTTGTTGCTTGAATACGTTCCATCTTTCTAACAATTGCAGTGTTCCTTTGTTTACGCGTCCCTTTCATGGCACCTCTTGCGTACAAAGTAACATTCGGTGTCTCCTGTCTCGGCAGTTCGTCAATGCGAAGACCGGTGAAGCGGAAGCTATGCACGTTTCTAGAAGCAAGTTTCACTTGTGCGTTACGTCACGCTTCCGCGCGCACGCTATTCCCCGCACGTTTGTGTATTTCGCAGTGTTATGTTTCAAGGCGAAAGGTATCGATTCTCGTCGTACAGGTAAAAATACGCGAATAAACAAAAGTTCTCGTCAACGGACTCGATGGAGTTGCTCCGCGTCGCGCAATCGGAAGAATCCTTGACAAGGTGCTATGGAAAATCACGAACTTGACGAGATTTCTGTTCGTATTATGAAATAAATGTCATCATTTCGGGCCGGGGTAGATAACAGTCTGACAGCTATATCGAAAGATGCAGATTTGCGCGGCGAAAGCTCGAGGCGAAAGAGGAGAGACCATCCACTGTACCGTCGTCCAAGTGCTCGAATGACAATTGAACGTGATTGCTGCACAGCGCGTCCCAGACGTGCAATCTTTCAGTTGAACTTGAGGACGATTTTCTCTCGACGAAAATCCGCCGAGCGATCATCCGCGATCTCTCGACCCTCGATCTTGGCGTTAAACAAACAAACGTCTCATTCTCGACGTCAAGCGTCTCATCTTCGCCGTTGAACTTTCGCTCTAATGCATTGCGCTGTTAGAACCAGGTCCAAGTGTGCGTCGAGCCCAACACGCGTCGAACGATTCCGTGCGAAACTAACGAGCCTTCGCTCTCGATTTCAGACGCGGAGAAGAATGAGTCAAGCAGATCAGAACAAAAGCATGGACAAGAAAGAGATCGCCGAGGAGGAGAGGGAGAAGATGCTGAACGCGGAGAACACGAAGCACACCGGTGCCGCACCCGCGCCGGATCTCGATTCCGAGGAGCAAAAACCCAAGAAGAAGATACCGATCGGCGGCATCAAGATGCCCGGATTCTGCCGTACGAAGAGCAAGGAACCATGCAAGGTACGTGAGACGCATCGCAGACGAAAACGTACAATAGCCGGCTTTTATCAAATTTTATCAGATAATTAGCTAAAACTACCCGGCGTTGTTCGGGCTGGTACATAATGTCAAGGGGATGAAATCAGAATGAGGGTGTCTGGGATGCTTCATGTGGATTATATTTTCCGCAGGGTCCTACAGAATTTAACTGTACAAAGGGAGCGGCCTCATGAGTTTTTAGACTCATTTCGTAGCATTCGAAATCTTGAATTATTTTTTGATAAGATTGTATATACATAGCTATTGATGGGGTTAAAAATATTATAAGTAGATAAAGATATATATATATATATATATATATATATATATATATATAATTTATTTATGAATAGCTGTAATTTTATCAAGAAATAATTTAAAATTTTGAATGTCACAAGAGCTAAAACTTAACTTTTAGTCCAGATCGGTCAAAGTGTTTAGGAATGTACAGAGAACAGATAGACAAACAGACAGACGTTCGCTATTTTATATATATGTAGATTAAAGTGTATGACGGTTTATTAATTATTTAATAATTATTATTTATTATTTGTGTTATTTATTACGGTATGTCGCAATGTTCCGACTATTTTTAAATTAAACTTTTTGTTAATCACAATGATCGATTACAACAACTGCGAAATTAGACTCATATTGTCCTTTTTTACTTTTTATCTTTCTTAATCTAAAAGCTCTTCGTTTTTTTCATTTTATTGGGATTTGTTTGTTCCACTTAAGTCTCCGTACACCTTAACATCTGATAATATCCGCGCAAGAGTGCTGGGAAAGGTAGAGTGCCGACTACTGAACGTTTTCCTCTATACTTTGCTCGTACTTCGCACAGCGAAGGGATCTACTCGAGCAAGACAATACAGCGCGACTACGGCATCGATCGTTCGATATCAGGTTCATTCTTTTCCTCTCTTTCTCCTTCCCCTTCACTTTCTCTCTCTCTCTCTCTCTTTTTCTCTCTCGTCCCCTTTCGCAGCTTTCTGCCATTTTGTCTTCGTTATTTTCCTCGCGCAGAAACCACACATCGCGTTTGTTTCGTTTTACACACGACAGGTGTGGAAATAGCGCGGCGCGCCGCAAGCGGATCTATCTATTGTTTCGAGATTGCGTCACCTTTTGCATCAACGGCTCGAAGCATAGGCATTTCCACTGCGAAATGACATTTGCGGATAATTGCGATTGTTGCAATTGGCGTTTCGCGTCTGCGAAGGGATCGCGGAGAGGTGTGATAAAAATGTCAGACGGCGATGTATGCGAACATTTGAATAATGCGACGCGGATCACGTTGCAGTATTGATAAAACGGGGTTCGAAGGAAAATCGTCTGGGTTAAGCTCTTGGGAAAAACTGACGGCGTATCCTGCAAGAGATCGCCACTGTTTCTCACTTAATTGCACTCGACTAATCGATTTTGCGACGAAAAAGGAGTCGAGCTCGATGGAGTGTAACGTTCATTTCTCTCCTCACTCTCTCTCTCTCTCTCTCTCTCTCTGTTCGTTTCTCATTATTGTAGTATGCAATGTGTCTAATCAATACCAGGTGCGACGCTTGACGTCACCCCGCTTAACGATAGGAAAAAAAAAATCGTTACGGGCCTGCGAGCACCCTTCGGTGGCGCGCACTATGGGGGCTTTACTTATCGTTTCGCGAAGCGAATTACCTCATCATTTGTGAACGAGCTTCTATGGCAACGTTGCGAAAAAAAACATAAAAAGGACGATCGAATCGGTACGCAACGAATATTTCTCTTTGCATAAACAAGAATTTCACTTTCGAGTTGAATGTGAAATGTGTCCTGTCCAGTCCTTTATTTCCGCAGCATATTTCCGTATCGAAAGTGCGTGATGTTCGAGGGAAACAGCATCGCGGAATCGCGTCAGTTTATTTTATTGTGGATTTTACAGAATTAATTTCGATACAGTGAAATTCTATATGTTATAGAATTTTATGAAATACTTTTTTCGAATTTTATATAGAATTTGTGAAATTTGATTTTATAGAACTTTATATAAAATTAACTTTGATAGAATGAAAAGAACGTCCGAGAGATTGTGGCAATCCGCACAGAAAAAAGAACACTCCTGTTTTGAAAATATTTTCAAGTTTGACATGTAAATCTTAACATTATTATACAGCGTTAAAACCAATGATAAGTTAACAAAGATAATTTGGATTAATATATTTCACATGATTCGACACAAAGAAAAATATAATTTATCATTATTATCCAAAAATAATTATCCCAATTTCCGATCTTCTTATATTAAAAAAGAGTAAAAAAATTAATTCGGAATTATAAGTCGGCGAAAGAATCGTGGCAAATTTGCATCTGTGCGCCCTTGATGTTTCTCCTTAAGATGTGTATGCTCGAAGGGCTAATGTAGCGCTAACGTTATTTGGTGTTTACCGATGAGTTATTCCGATGGAATGGGATTGAAAGGTCGGTCGATCGGGCGCAATAAACGAACGCAACGCGAGATATACCGCGATAGAATGCGGCTCCTTTCTTCCACAGATATATAAAACGAGAAATCTCCTCAGCGTAAAATCCGCTCGAGAGAGTGTAGGCGTGCGAGTTTGTGTTGCTTAGCTCCATCACACCCTCGATGTTTGCCTATCCCGCGTCTCTTTATTTTCACTGTCAGCATACTGTTGCCGTAAAACAGTCTCGCGCGTAACCCATGTGGCGGCAGCAACTCGCCGACGCGAGTCGGGAAATGTTTGCGATCGTAATAATAATAAAAATCACTATTGTTTTGTCACACGCACACTGCATTTGCTGCAACGGCGTCGTGCGATAATTGAATTAGTTTCGTCGTCGCGCCGTCTCGGCCCCGACGGTCGATCGATCGTGAGCTTTTTCAAACTTTCTTTCCACGCGACTCGACGAGCTCTGATGGCGATCGGACGGAAAATGCGCCAGGGACTCGCGATTCATTGACTCGCGCGACGATAATGCAGCATCGTCGTCGGCAGCACAAGTCGAGTCGACGACTTTTCATCGTCTCTCTTTTCCCCATTCCCCGTTGTCATTTCGTTTCTCGCCTCGTCTCGCTTCGTCTTTTAGCCGACGACAACGTCTCTGCGACGACGTGAAGGAAATCCGCACTGACGGCCCGACAGCGCGCTTTTGCGCGCCCGGCCGGCCGGCTCTCTTCTCCCTAATCGACTTAATTCGCCTTATTAATCGTTTAATTGGGAAAGAAAGTGACGGCCGCCACTTTGCTCTAGGAACCATTCTTCTTTCACTTTTCGATTCTTTTCTTCCTTTTGTCCCATTCATATAACAGCTTTCTCTCTCTCTCTCTCTCTCTCTCTCTCTCTCTCTCTCTCTCTCTCTCT